GGGAAACACTGGTCTAGTTGCTAATTCAAAATTTTTCAACTTTAACATTTTTATTTAACATTATACTTGAGTTGATACTTCTATTTCCAAAAAAAATATTTTTAAACCCTAGTATCTATACTTCTACATAAGTGATGAATGTGAATACTTTTGACACCTCTGACACTGACTGACTACAGAGAAAACTTAATTTCAGTAGATGTCTATGAAATAATTTTATAATATATAATGTATAAATATTCCATCCATCTATCCATCCATCCATCCATCCATCCATCCATCCATTTTCTGTCCATGTTTCTTCCTTTCAGGATCGCGTGGGTCACTGGTGTCCATTTCCAGCAGTCACAGTGCGAGGGGCGGGGTACACCCTGGACAGGTCCCAAGTCCATCACAGGGCCACATATAGAGACAAACGAGACAAACAACCATTCACTCTCTCACACCTAGGGATAATTTAGAGTTATCAATTAACCTAACAGTCATGTTTTTGGTCTGTGGGAGGAAGCCGGAGTACCCGGAGAGAACCCACGCATGCACGGAGAAAACATGCAAACTCTACCCAGAAAGATCCCCGGGTCGGGATTTGAACCAGCGACCTTCTTGCTGAGAAGCATCAGCTCCATTTATTATTTTCCTGTTTCACAGATTGCAACAGAAAGCAGGAATCAGTCTTAATTTTACTTCCTTACAAATGGATCTAGTTGATCATATTCAAACTTTAATGCAAGCATCACTTGATAAAACTGGCCTTCTAAAAAAGAGTCATCAGTTGGCTGGCGCTGGCTCCTTGTTTAAAATCAGAGCTGCACATCTTAAAATAAACAACTGGAAAACAGGTGAGAAAAAGCTGATCCATTCACAATTTTATTGAATCTAGAGAGGTAGCCTGCTAACATACAAGACATATCTTTACAAATCCAGACTGACTCAGTCTACTTTTAGACCAGTCTTCAGGGCTGGCTTGGGTTTCYTGAGTTATCCAGTGGTAGGTCAAACTGGCCASATTTCATCACTCAGCAGCTGTCTTTACTCGCTCATTATTGAAAACCATTAAAATAAAAATAAAGGTTTTCCTCCACACCAAGAGTAAAAAAATGTTAATTGGTTGAGAATGCTGTAGTTTTCATACAAAACTCTCTGTTACCTTTAAACTTAGTRTAAAACACTTACCTGAGTACTCTCAATATCTTCTCCAAGTATTTTACATCTTTGCATTTGTCAATGTAATCGTAATCCAGGTGCTCCACAGGGACCTTCACACAGGGGTCAGAGGYTGAGCCTTGACTGTCTGTACCCGTCTCTGTGTTTGTACTCATCGTAGCTGAGAAGAAAGTGTCACTGTCCTCCATCATCAGGGAGAAATAGCTCAAGAAATAACATTTGAATGATGAGTGGTAAATGACACAGCTGAAACCTTTTGTAGAAACTGGGCTATTAAAGCAGTAGCCAACACTTGCAAAAAGCCAAAAACAGAAAAGGGTTAGTTAAAAACTAAAAATAGCAAAAGGATTGCTAAAAGTATCAAAATGTCAGCTGAAAGCTGAAAAAGCAAAAGACTAGCTTCAGGCTAACAGTGAAAATGGCTAAATTAAAWCTAAAACTATCAAAATGTCAGCAAAAAGATAAATATATAAAAATGCTCATTAAAAGCTAAATGAATCAAAAAGTTTGCTAAAAGTACCAAAAATAGTCAAAAGCTAAGACTACAAAACTGTCAAGTAAAAACTAAAATAGCAAAAGACTAGCTAAAGTTCAAGGATAACTAAAAACTAAAAWGTATTAAAAGGTAAAAAACTAAAAGAACAAAAGGTTAGCTGAAGGCTAACACTAAAAAAAAATGTATCATAATGTATACTGAAAGTTAAATGTAAATAAAGACATACTAACTAAAGCTAAAAGTATAAAAATACTAGTTAAAAGCTAACGGTAATTATTTTGSTAAAATTATCAAAACTTATCTAACACCTAAAAGTAACAACAGGTTAACAAGAAGCTAAAATTAGCAAAATGCTAACTAAATGTAGCTAAAGGTTAATAGAAGCTAAAAGTAGCATAATTGTCATTACAAAATGAAAKTAGGCTAGCATAAGAAAATAAAAAAGAAGTATTCTGAGATCTGTCTAAATTTATTTTAATCCACGCTTCAAAGAAAACAATGTTGTTTTAAGGAACTGAGAGATTTCTTAATGTATTTCTAAGGGAAATAAAATGTGAAAAGTGCAAAACCCAGAAAAAGAATCTATTTCCTGAATGAGCTAAGCGTTTTAGCTAAAATGAGTAATGTAGACATACGCATAGTTTAAATTAAAAAAAAAGTCTGAAGAAGCAAACCCATCTAGAAAAAATAAATCGTAGCCTACTAACTGGTAAACTTGGTTCCCTCGCTTGATAAATAACAAAAAATATAACAATAAAAATGCTATTTCTTGAAGGTAAAGCTAAATTTTTAATTATACTCACAGTGTCTGTCTGGTTAAATTATTGCTAATGATGCAACAAATACTGGAGTAAATTAACTACTTTACCTGCCTCCAATACCTTCGTTTGCGACTTGTTGTTATGGTAACCGCGGACCGGAAATCGGGATTGCTGAAGCGGAAGCACGTGACACCGTCTTCACTGGCTCCAATTATGAAAACGGTTGTTTGCGGGGGGTGTCAGCTGCTGAACGAAGCCTGGAACAGAACCGAACCGAACCCGACCTGCAGAGTCCACGACCTTTCCAGCAGCAGAGTTTAAGGCGAGTTTTAAACGTTTGCTTATGTGTCGTAACACTCTTACAACTAAAATGTATCGTTCTTAACACATTTTTATGGTGGTTAGAGCGCAAACTTGTCGACATCAGTCTTAAATATCGAGACTTTCTTTTTGGTTGAAATGTTTTGTTTTGGCTCGAGTTGCACAGGTGTTTTCCAGTTATGCTAATTGGCTGTCAAGGCCTTGTTGGTTCTATGTAAAAACAACATAATATATTTATCCCAATTTTATCAAACCGTGATGTGTTCACCAGTGAAGCGCGTAGCTAGTTGCTAGTTTTTGGCGTTACAGCTGGCTTTAGAGCACGCGACAGAGGATTTAACCACAACAGCACGCGACTGATGAACCAGTTGACACAAAAGCTTAGCTGGATGCAGACAGAATTAACAGCCTTATTTTTATTAGACATTTTGCCATGTCCTTATTTTGTAGAGCCACCAAATCTGCTTCATTCTTACAAATATAATTTATGTTGCATTGTGAAATCCTAAGTGTGAAGACAAAAAGATCCCCTTACTCACCTACCAAAGCATAAAAAATGAGTTCTAAACATGGTTACAGAAACACAAACATCATAAAAGCTTTTTCTAACAACAATAATAACAACAACAACAATAAAGGTTSCCACCTGGATTTAACTAAGCAAATAGTAAGAGCCTCTCATTGGATAATTACTGTATGGAAGACTGTTTCAGCCGAAAAGTTATTTTCATAACTGTTGCACTTCTGTTTTGTTAATAATGTGATTGTTGAAAAGATGTCAATCTGTTTCAGAAGGGTCAAATTTTAGGCATTAAGCAGAGAAAACATCTAAGGAGATTGCTGAAACTACTAAAATATGGTTAAGAAGAACTGTCCAACACGTTATTTAAAAATTGGAAGGACCATGGAGAAACACCATCTTTCAGGAAGGATCGTGGTCAGACAAAAGCTTGAACAATCGTAATCAGTGTTCTCCTTAAACGTTTGTTGAAATCAAATGTTWGAAAGAACACAGTAGAACTCACAGCTGTGTTTAATGGTGAAAATAAGAGCATTTCCACACGCACAATGTGAAGGGAACTGAAGGCACTATTGTGACTGTGCAAGAAAAACACTTATCAGTGAGGCTAATGGTGGTGGTGATCAGATTTGTTCTTCCCTGATTATCATCAGGGATATATTTCCATATTTCAAGATGACAATGTCAGGATTTATCGGACCCAAATTGTGAAAGAGTGGTTGAGGGAGCATGACCCATCATTTTCACACATGGACTGGCCTCCACARGTCCATTGAGAATCTTTGAGATGTTCTGGAGAAGGCTTTGTGCAGCAGTTTGTCATCAGTACAAGATCTGGAGAAAAATTAATGCAGCTTCAAATATGAATAAATGTTGCTTGTTGAAACAATGCCACAGTGCATGTGTGCCATGATCAAAGCCAAAGGTGGTCCAACAAAATATTAGATCTTTTTCCACTGGAAAATACCTTGAAAAATAAATGGATGCTCATATTTTGTGCTAACTTTTACTAAACTAAATATACAAATGTTACAGATTAATTGTTGGTGATACAGTCTTTAAATATTTGTTGTTGTTGTTTCTTTTTTAAGGTCACCTAAAGTTTTCGTGTGGAGCTCTGCGGTTACACAAAAGGAGRGCAATGCAGTGCACAACTGGGTCTAATGTCCAGCTGCATAGCTATAAAGCTAAGCACAGTTACAGTGACTGCACTGACAGCGGTTACTCAGGTCTGTTCCACAGCCCACAGAGCATCACTGGAGTGGACTCCAGCAGATCGTCGTCTCCAGCAGARTTCAGTGAAACTCCCAAAGAAAACCTTAAACTTACCACCTCTCCTAAAGAGAGAGCCAGAGAATCAGGCAGACATTTGAGCACAGACTCCAGGGATGTAACGATGTCATCTGCCATTAGATGGTGTGAAACTCCAAAAGTACACAAAAGAGATGCTTCACTGCGACACAGACTGTTCAGCAAGCCCACGACAGTCAACGGTGCACAATCACCTTCTACCACAAACACYGAATTCACCTTTAGTACCAGGTCTGAACGGTGGTTCAGTGCATCGTTTGACTCTTTAGACCATATGACTGTGGGGGCATCAAACTCTTTAAAATTGAACCAGGAGTTGGCTCTTCCTGTCGGGAAACTCCATCTGTTCACACAAGTGAGGACCTCCACACTAGAAGATGGTAAAGTCAACCTCAGTAACCTCTCCTCTTTTGAAGGAAGCGTTTCCCTCTCAGAGGCTGAAATCAGTGACAGTATTTCAGCCTCCGATCATCTTGATCAAAATGCTCAGAGGTTTGACAAGTTGCTGCTTTTTGGACCGCTAGAAAGCAGCGACACAAATATCCAGTGTGACAGYGCAAGTGATTTCTGCACACCGACGCCCACATACAGCAGGTAAATATGAGGGTCTTCATGTTTTCTACCTTTTCTGTGAACTTTTCTTTTTAGCTGTCAAACAAAGCAAGCATGTCACAAAAATKAACTACAAAAGCCAGAGGATCTTCACGTATTACTAACTTTGACAACGGCTAACACACAAAGTAAGAAAAGTGAAAATTGTTGTCCTTTATTAAATTTGTTAAATCTATATTATATGAAAATATGATTTGTAATTTTTTCCTAAAATTTGTATTATTAAATAATAGAACTGATTGATGTATTTGACTGGTTAAGGCAAARCAACAAATATAAAAGTTTTTGTGTGTTGATGAGATGATTATAAAGGAGCAGGAAGAAGCATTAGCTCATTTAATCCCATCATTTCTCTACTGTTTAGACCAGGGGTGCCCAAACATTTTCCCAGAGGGGGCCAAAATGAAAATCTATCCATGGCTGCAGGCCAAATGCAGTTATATAATACACGAAATACAAATACTTTTAAAAAGTAAACTCCTTTATTTTTAACCATTAAGCTGTGCAATGGTCCTCTTTTGTTTTAGTCTGTGCACTTGGAGAAAGTCTGCCATACGCTCAAGTAGCAAAGGCTCATGGGACATTTCATAAATTGATAAAATATGAGTTTTTGTGGCCTCATAAAGTGTGTAAATCTACATGCGGGGTTAAATCTGATCTAAATATCTCTTGTTGTTGTTTCATGTTTCATGTTTAATCCTAATAAATCAAAGATATGTCATTACCATGACTGAAAACTACCTTCACTACAGCCCTTTTATATAGTCATTTGACCAATGGAAATACAGTGTTTCTACATAGGATAACAGGTTACAACCTTGTAACTTTGGCAACTGTTGGTGGGCCAAATCAAATGGCTTGGYGGGCCAAATTTGGCCCGCGGGCCCCACTTTGGGCTCCTCTGGTTTAGACATTGATTATCTCTTTTTTTCCTGATTTATTCTGTCCTATCATAAGCCCTTACAGTTGCTAAATATTTGGTTTTGGAATACCAGTACACAATATACAAATTTACTGATATAAATGTACATTAGGGCTGCGTAATATACAGAAAATTTATTGTTGCAATACTGGTAAGTTCAATATCGGTACCACAAAGTAAAATATAAATTATAGACTGTTATATTTGAAGTACCATGTATTCATGATCTGTATCTGTGTCTCACTGATCCTCACTGGCCTTGATGTCCTGTTTTTTGAAGAAAACTGGGTTTAACATTTGAAGTCATTTCAATATAAAACAATAACCTAGCATGTTTTCTAATTATGTAGTTCTAATACACATGCATACAGTATATACATATGCATAGAATCATATACACACATTCATTGTGGGAAAATACTTTGTTAAAACCATTCATGTACCTTGAYAAACTCATCAAATTTTCATTAATTGGGTCATTCTTGGACATTACCTATTTTTGAACATTATTGTCAATGTTGATATATTTAAAGTAAAGTTTTATTTATATAGCACCTTTCATAGAAATAGATTCGTGCTGTACAATCAGAGGGAAATCTAAAAGATATACAATCAGAACAGGATATACAAAAATTTGGAACAAAAGTTATAAAAACTGTACAACCATCAAAGTATCAAGACTGTGCAATCCGAAAAATAAAACAAGTAAATAATATCTAGACAAAGGGAGGGCAGAGTAAAACATTAACATATTAAGATGAAAGATTTTAAATCAGAAATATTTAGATATTTAAATTATAAATTAATTATAAATTAAATATTTTAAAATTTAAACAAACAATATTCAGATATTTAGTTATAAAGTATTGTCTTTCACTAAAAAAAGTACTAAATCTAATTTTTCTAATAATAAAGCAGCTTTTGGGCAACTAGGTAAAGTTGGATTCCCTGAGTCTAATGGGGGAATTTTTCTTTACAAATCTTGTTTTTACATGACTTTTTTCAGGGATTTTAGCAGGGTTTGGACTTTTCTTATTTAACTTTCTGAGTCTATCGCACACTTTTTAAATGACATGATGAATTCAAAGTTTTTACATTCGTCTTTCCTTGTACCTTTTAAAACAGATCTGTGAGTGAGGACAGTGGGTTCAGTTCCCTGAGACTTGATAAATCCCAAGACTCYTCAGTGGACCATGATGGCTCCTTCCAGGAGCTGCTGGTCTCTGCTGTCAGAGGAAACGGCGAAACCCCAAATCTTTCCGTTTCTAAACGGCGCTCCCGTTTGCAGCGTCAGCACAGACTTTCTACTCTTAAAGAAGGCRGCTCTCAGTCTGAAGAAAACCCAGTGGAAAATCAGCCCCCTCAGTGCTTTGGGCATTCTAAAGAGGATGATGTTTTTACTGACGATTCTACTCCCTGCAGTACACGGTCTCCTAAATGTTTCAGCAGTGTGACCTCTGCAAAACACGACTATGGTACTCCTTTAGGAGCCACTGTATCCAGACCAGAAAACTCCACACCTGCAGGATCTTCCACTCCTACCATCACTCCCCTCAGGGCATCCCCACTCAACCTGTCGTTGACTCCAGCCTTACAGCTGGTTCATACCATGTGCCAGCACAAAGTTCAGATGTTTTCTGGACAAAGCCCAAGCCTTAAGGAAGAGCTGAAGTCAACGATGGCCCTGGCCAAGACTCCGCTGGCCTTCAGGACCACGATGCCYTTGGCAGGGCTGATCGGCAGGAAGATGGGCCTGGGGAAGGTGGACATCCTCACAGAGCTGAAGAAGAGGAACCTCAGGCACATCCTGGCTAAAATATTCAGCATGTTGAACTCTGAGTGTGTCTACAGGTGATGAATTCATGTGCCCAACAAACCTGTTCAACTTTTAAATTTTAAGCTATAAAGACCAAGTTTTTTTGTGTATAAAATACAACTTATACAAGTAGTGATACAGCTAAAATCTTAAAAAAAAACATAAGGAAACTTACTTCTTGAATGAATATTAAATATGTGTTTGTGTTTATTTACTTTTATAGGTGTGGTCGGGTGAGTAAAAGCTGGAATGAAATTATTCTTCAGGACAGTCAGGCTAGCCTGAGGGGAAGAGACTATCTGAGTGAGGTAAAGGCTGCGCTTGAGGTAAGTTTATTCTCTTTTTCTTACTTTTTTTTGTTAAAGTCAGCTAAATTACAAATGTGACATTTTCACAAACTACACTGGTTTCAACTTTGCTATCTTATGTCAGAACCTGACTCTTTATTTCTGGCTTAATTTAAAATAGTTTTGTGTTGAGGCGTTAAATGACAGTAAAATATAAAATGTATTTACTGTGTACACGTTATGGTATGTCAATACAAATGGCTACTTCAGAGTAAGATGTGGASTAAGTAATGATTATGTACTGTGGCTCTAAAATATAACATAACTATCCTAGCCAATTAACCGTCTTGAATTGAATTTGTTAAAAAAGTTAATGAGTTATAGATATTATAATAATTACTTTCTAAGAATTTAATTAAAATCTGTCCTGTGSTTCATGAGCTATTTTGTGAGCATCAMAGGTAAATGAACACAAATTACCCGTTTGCTTACAGGTAATTTGCTCCAATATTTCAAATTATTACAATGAAGGTTTATAGTACTGTGTCTACAGGGTTCGACAAGATTTTATTTTTTCTCCTGCCCGACATGAAAAGTTACCTGCCCGAAACAAAAATGTTCAAATTTTGATAAAATAAGAAAAACGTGTACTGTACTTTGTACTACAAAAATACTAACATGGTTATACAGAGGCATATTATATATGACATCTGATTAAACAGATGCAAACATTTTAGACTGAGTTACTAACAGTCAATTGTTTTATCAAGAACATCTTCAAAAAACAGTTTTCCTAGAGTATTGGCCTTGGGGGTGGGGTTTATGAAAACAGAATGATCAACAGCAGCAGCTTTGTTTTAAATACAGTTTACAGAACATGAAAGTCTGAAATTAGCATTAATTAAATCTTATATAGTGAATCTCATATCCAAAGATACATTTAAGATATCTTGAACTGGAGTCTCCTTAAAACATGATGATAAATCTAATGTTATTTATACAAGTCAGAATATAATTAGAGATATCTTAAATAGGTATTTTGAATTGTCAATATATATTAAGAGATGTCTATTTATTTGTTTCTTTCTTTCATTCATAAAAACAAAACTATCTATGTACAGCATTAAAAAAAACCCTAAAGTAAATCATACCCTGAAGTAAAAGGGTGCAGAGTAAAGTAAAAAAAAA